CAAATTCAGGAAGAAAGGCATTATCAAGTTTTTGGATGTCATTAGCTGTAACAAAGTTCGGGATTAATCACGACACCGTACAAATGGTAAAATATTTGCAAGCAAGGAGAGGGTGGAGATGACAGAACCTGTAAATTTATGGCAGCTGAGCACTCACAGCTGAGCACTCGCTGTGGGGGCGGTGGCAAATGGATTTACTATTTTGCCAACTCCTGTAAAGTGTTACAAAATTGCAACAAAATTGTTTCATGCAAACAATTGTTTAAAAAAGAGTTCTTACACCAACTAACTGCAATTCAGTGCTTTTTGGTAAGCACAAAGCCAGACTAAATTAAAAATATTAGAAAATTTTCTTTTTGGAATAATGCTGAATATTGAGATTTTCCTTTCCTTTCCAACTCCCTCTCACTTCCATCAGTCTTTTCACGCGCCACCATAACTTTAGTTTTTGTGGGGAAAGGATAGAGCGAAGAAGGGGCAGGATCTTTGAGACAGCGGAAGAAGACAGGAGGGTCCAGAAAAGGTAGAGTGGGAAGTCACTCAGTTAAACGATCACCTTCCTCTGTAGACTGGGATGAGGCACTTCAGTCCGTCCTGACCGTCTGTCTTCCACAGGTAACGCTCTGCTTCTTGAGAACGCTGCATAGCAAATTTGAGCTCGCCCCCCCCCCCCCCCCATTTGTACAAAATCTGTCCTAGAAATGCCTCGTCCTTAGGGGTGGAGTGGGGAATTAGATGAGTTCTTTTCGTAACATTATGGATTTTTCTGGAAAATGGGGCTAAAGTTCTCTGGACATTTTTCTACCCTGCAACTGAACCCATAAAAAGCGAGTTAAAAACCCATGCAAAGCGAGTTACGTTGCTTTCCAAGAGTCCTGCACTCAGAAGATGCTGTAAGACTCACTGAAGAAAAACGGCACCAGCACCACATTTTAAACTTAGAAGGGTCCTCTGGCTGAGACAGGCTGCCCCGAATGGCACAGAGATAATTCTGCAGTAACTCTGTTAAACTTCCAACACTCGATGGGGACAGGAGGCGACAGGAGGCCTCCGGGAGCCGTGCGCGGTGTCCACCCGGCGCAGCTGAGCTGCTGGGCCCGCAGGGTCCCCGCGGCACGTCCAGGCCGGAGCTGGGGTCTCATCTTCCGCGTGCTCACGGCGACACAGTCGCCGTTCCGTCCCCGGAGGCTGCTGGAACTGTCCCACTTCACAGATGAAATGGAGGCCACGGGTTAGCGTTCGTGGTTTACGAGGGAAGGGGTGGGAGGGGGAGGGGAGAGAGGCTTTTCCCCACCGCCTTTAGGAAGGTACTTAAACCAACCCAAACCAACCCCAAATGACGCTACTTTCAACGACGGTTATTTCCCTTGGGGTCACGTTCATGGAGCTCATCTCTAAAACCAAGAAGAGGGACAAGTGTCTTAACGTACAATGAAGAGCCGGCCCCGCCCCTACCCCACCTCCGGGTTTCCGAGGCCGTGAGTGGCAGAGGACACATATAAAGGGCCGCAATGGGCGAGGGCCCGGGGCGTGACAACCCCGGCGCGGCCCGGCCCGGCAGAGNTTGCCAGCGCCGCCCGCCCCGGCATCCTCCCGGAGGTGGAAAAGCAGTCGCCGCCGCTGCCGCTGGGGGGTCGCGCTGCGCCCCATCCACCGCCGCCGGAGAGATTGGAAGATTCGCTGCGCAGAGGCCGAGAGCAAGAGAGGCAGAGCCGCTTTGCCGAGAGCTGGGTCCCGTATGAGCCGCCGCTCACCGTCGCCCACAGCCGACTTCGCCCCCCGGAGCTAGGAAGGAAGCTGCGGTCCCGAGAGAGCGGAGGAGACGTCGCTGGAGCCGGGCGCGCCGGTCCCGACGGAGAGCAGAGCAGGGCTCCAGGCCGGGTGAAAGTTTCCCTTCCCGAGCCGCAGGGCGCCAGCTGTCCGGAAACTCTGCCCAGGGCTGAGGCTGCTGTGTCCCGCGGCCCCCTCAAAGGCACAGGAACCCCCCAGCGGAAGACAGCGGGAGAGAAATCGAGGAACGAGTGACAGCCGGAGAGTCCGCCTGGCCGCGATCCAAGGCCGCTGCGGGGCGCGCCCGCGGCTCCAGGTGAGCGGGGAGCCGAGCGGACCCGAGGGTGGGCGTTGCTTAGGCGGCGGCGGCGGCCGGGATGGAGACTGGGCGCACCCGCTAACTCCGCTTCCCCTCTCAGGTTCTTCCCGGAGCCGCGGCCATGGGAGAGCC